CTATTTGTTCGATGTAGAGGCTGTTGAGCAGAGCGATGAGGTGATCGGCACACCCATCTCTTTCAAGGCGCACCCTAACTTGGCAAGGTCAACGCAGTCAAAGGTTTTACTGTAGTCAATGAACCAAATGTATGCTGTCTGATGATGCTCTTGACACTTCTCTAAAATTCTGCGGAGGTTTGCTATGTGATCACGGGTCCTCTGTTGGTCCTGAAGCCTGCTTGCTCCTCCGGAAGCTGTGCCAGAAGGTAATATTCAAGTCTTTTTTGCTGGATTTTTAGTGGAATTTTACTAGTGTGGGAAATCAATGCTATCGTTCTGTAGTTGCTACACAACTTCTTGTCGCCTTTTTTGTGGAGCGGGATGTAGATACTGGTCTTCCAGTCTTGTGGCCACTTTTGAGTTTTCCAGATTGTGTTGCATTGTTAACATAATACATTAATAATGAAATTTTAAGAACTAGCTTGTGGAAAACGAAAATATGTGTGTGGGAGAGGGGTGATTATGTAGATCCCATCTAACTTTTGTTCTTTTTATATATATTTTTTGTGATTATTGTTGATTGACATTTAGTATTAGAAAGGAGGGGTGGAGTTCGGTTTTGGATTTAAGAATCTTCTCTTTTACTAGTCTGATCATTTATTTTCTTACAACTATTATTGTTAGAATTAAAGATGGAATATGCCACCTGTTTATTTTCGTATGACTATAAAAAAAGGCAAATTGGTTCTATGACCGATGTACTTTGGGCACACATTCAACAGTGGAATAAGTTGTATCCTTATCAAGACCACGACGTCATACTACTAAGAAAAAATCTTCGAATAAATCAAATTATGTTTTCTCAGGTTCCTTACAAGACAAAACCCCTGGTGTTGGTTGCAATACGAAGATGTAAGTTGAGAATAATGCTTAGTAAATATCATGGTCACGTCGAGGAACAGCAAACCTATAAAGAATAATATACTTATTTTAGATTTTAAACATTTACCCGATATATTGGCGGCAACAAATATTCATATTACTATTATGAATTTTTACCTGACAGATGTTTGATAAATGTGTATAAAAAGACAATTACACACATATATGTGAGTGTATATACATATATAAACATATTTTTTTTATATGTATGTATGTATGTATGTATATATATATATATATATAATATATATATATATATATATATATATATATATATATATATATATATATATATATATATATATATGTATGTATACATGCGTGTATATATAAATATATATACACTATGAATATCATATATATATATATATATATATATATATATATATATATATATATATATATATATATACATTATAAATATTATATATACGTATATATACATTATATGTATGTATACGTATATATGTATTATATATATGTATATGTATATATGTATTATATATATATGTTTATGTATATAGGTATTATGTATATGTATATATATATCATATATATGTATATATATATCATATATATGTATATATATATCATATATATGTATATGTATATATATATATATCATATATATGTATATGTATATATATTATATTTTTATGTGTATATGTATATATATCCATATCATCATCATCATCAAGGGGCTTACGCGATTGGCTGCATCCACCCTTCGCTTCCAGCCCTCATGGTGAGTCTCCAGGCAGGCCCTCGGCCCATCTCTAACTCCTCGCGGCAAGTTTCGTCGGGCTGCCAAAGCCATGACCTTCTAGGTCGTCCACGGGCCTCCTCAACCTAGGATTGTCTCGCAGAGAGACAACCTAATGGGTAAGGTCATCCACAGGCAAACGAGCTGGTTGCCCATATAGCCTGAGTTGACGATCCAGGATTATGCAAAGAACAGATGCTATGACAATCTCACGGTGTAGCCGTCGGTTGGACACATTGCCCTGCCAACTGTACCCCATGATCCGGCGAAGAAACTTGTTACAAAAGGCATCAAGACGAGACTCCCAAGGAGCTAGATAGCGTCCAGGTGTCGCTTCCATAGAGCAAAACTGGCAGTATCAAGGCTTTGGAGACACATAGCTTGGTCCTTCTGTATAGGTACCAACACCTCCAAATGCTCTTGATGACAGACAGACTCTGACAGCCCAGAGATATGGTTTCCACTACCATGGTATGCAAAGTTCTCGGTGACTTCAACGTCCTCACCGCAAACATGTCAAATGGTTTCTGGAGGTCGATGTAGGCTGCAAGCAACCCACAGCCAAACTTATGACAGAATTCCACAATTACTCGAAGCACTAGGATACGGTCTATTGTAGACTTTCCAGTAGTGAATCCAGACTGCTCCGGTCTCTGGAGATCTATTGTGGACTTGCCAGGAATGAATCCAGACTGCTCCAGTCTTTAGATGGTCGCAGATCCATTTCAGAAGAATGTGGGCAAAACTTGCCTGGTATACTGAGCAGTGTAATGCCACAGTAGTTGCTACAGTCCCAATGATCCCGTTTCCCCTTCCAGAGAAGGATGACCATGCCCTTCAACAGGTCAGGGGGAATGGTACCAGACTGCCAGATGGCAGTCACGACTGCTTGCAAGTCCCATGCCATAAGTTTACCCCCAGCCTTTAGCAGTTCAGCAGTGATATTACCTATGCCTGCGGCTTTCCCATATTTCAGCATAAATTCGCCATCCTAATCTCATTTAGGGTAAGAGGTTCCTCGCTCATGGGTGGGTCTGGCACAGGCATTGTGATACCACATGTATCCAAGCTAGCTGTTGGAGGGTCTACCTGTATAGCTGCTCAAAATACTTAGCCCAGTGTTCACAAACCCCAACTTGATCTGAGATTATCTGAGCTGTCTATCTACTGAGCGGACTGCAATCATCTGCGAGAGCTTGGAAGGCAGGGCGAAGGTCATTTACCAAGAAATTGCCTTCATCCTCAGCAAAATTCCTGATGTCCGAGCCCTCCGCACCAAAGAGCGATGCAAGTCCTGATTACCATTCAGCCGACCCATGCAACATGCTTTAGTGGCCTCCATTGTCTCAATGTAAAGGAATCCTACCTTGCCCTCAGGTGTACGCCAATGAACTCAAGTTCAAGTTCTATGAATCAATCTGAGACTGCCATGGCGAACCCACAACCACACTCCTTCTCCCTCAGTCTGTCCAAGTGAAACACCCTAGAGTGGCCACTAGAGTGATGAGGAGTTTTGAAGTGGACCCACAGGGTAGCCACTACCAGCCAATGGTCAGTGCCACAGAAGGCGGCAATCCGGTAAGTCCTGCAATTCTGGAGGACTTACATGTAGTTGATCTCCTTGGACACAGTACCCATATCGCTATACCATGCCCAGTGTTGCGGGTTGGAGCACTGATACCAGGAGCCAGAAATCCTCATTCTCTGGGACATAAGGGCAGACAGACATCTTGGAGCCAGCTCAATCACAGCCAGATAACACATTAAAATCGCACAGAACACTGCAAATGTTTCGCCGGAAAATTGTCTGCCATGGATGTGAGTTTGGCATAGAACGCCTCTTTCACACTGAGTTTGAAAAGATCAGTAGAAGTGTACAGAGTAATAAGAACCACAGCCAAAAGCATGATTCAATCTCAATGCCACAATACACTCATCAACCGGTATTACTTCAACTACCGAGGGTTGAAGTCAGCTGGAGAGGGCTATAGCTATTCCCTGATGGTGATGATCAATACCACGACCCAAACAGTAGTAGGTGTACCCACTCATAGTGACCGTGCCGCTGCCAGGTCTTCTCACCTCCGAGAAGGCAGCCACCTCAACTCCCAACTGCTCAAATTTCCTTGATAGCAGAGGTAACCGCTTGTCCTGCTACAAGGACCGGATATTCCAAGCGCCTACCCAGATAGCTCACATGAGGTTAAGCTTTGGGCAGTCACTCCGGGTGGACGTCACCTTTGCCACCTCCGCCAGCACTGCCTCAAATAAAGGAGGTCGGCGGGCTGTGGGGTTCTCAAGGGATTTGCCCCACAGACCTCATACTGGGTTAGCACCTACCAGAGTAAATTTATGCATATTTTTATGTAGATGTATAAAAATATCTATATGCATGTGTACATACATGTGTGTGTGTGTGCACATTCGTTTGTGTGTCACGAATTATATCTTTAGTTTTGACGGCGAATATTATTAACAAATCAGTGGCATCGCCCGGCCCTTGCAGATTTATACACAGATATGTTTGATTCTGAAGTTCTTCCGTCTATCCTCCTTCCCGACACGATTTGGTTTCGTTATGTTGATGTTTTTTTTTTCTTTGTGTGAACCGTTCGATTTCGATGATTTTTTTTCAGAAAACTCAACAGCCCCGCATATACTATCAATTTTAAAGTAGAATGGGAAAGTTCTGGTAAATTACCTTTTCTCGACTTTCTTTTGGTCAATGTAAGTGATTCGCTTAAATTTTCTGTTTACCGTAAACCTACTCACAACGCTACTTACCTTCATTTTCTTCTTGCATCACCTGTAATACGTTGAAAAGTCAGTAGTCTTGTCAATATTTCTTAAGACATTTAGGATTTGTGGTAATGAATTTATCGATCGGGAGCGTTTTCGAAATTAGGATATCCTCATTTTTTTCTTAAATCAGGCACATTCATCTGCGAGATGGAAATGTTATTCTCATTCCCGTAATACTCAGTAGCATAGTGGCAGTAATCTATTAATTATTCCGCGTAATATTATTTTCACTGATAAAGTAGATTAAATCATCAAAATCCTCAAGCGTATTGGTGCAAACTGCCCTGATGCCAAATTATTTGAGCATTTCAAGGCGATTAATCCGTCTTTTCCGTATTTCTAAAGCACAATGTCGGCGTTTCTTTACGGACGAGTTCCTTATAAGAGGCGCCTCCGCCTACTTGAGTGTTAGATTCATTGGGACTTTGTTTATCGGTTGCTCTTTTCTTTATAGGGAGTCTTTATCACTAGTGAGCAAGGTATTTATAACGAAATAAGTTTTCATAATTTC